CAAATTAAAAAAAAATTTAAAAAGATTAAAAAAATTAAAAAAATTTAAATATAAAAAAAAAAAAACCTAAACAGAATTTGTATTAACAAAGATTATTAGGTTTAAAAACTTTATTAACTATATATTAGATTTATATAGCAGAAACAGTATTAGTAGATTAATTTTTATATGGATATATTACCAATAATAAAGATAAAAATTAAAAAAAATTTATCATGTACATTTTATATAGAATATTTTCAATAGAAATAGCCCATTTTTATATTTTTTAAACATTTATTTTATTTTGTTTTATTTTAATAGATATATATGCATTCAATAAAAAGTTTGCAATATGTTGAAAGCTAATTATATAATAAAAAGTTTCACCAAATGAACTTTAAGATATATGTTACTATATGTAAATCGTTACTTAAAATTGATTTACACAAAATTTTAATGTTAAGAATGGCTTTTTTCTATTGAAAACACCCCATAAGTTATATCGTGCGCATTTTTTCCATCTCTAAACGTATCTAAAATTTAGAATAAAGGCCACAAATCAGACTCATTAATACTGTAATACGTACAAACCAGATCAAAATATAAACAATATTATTGGTGCTACGTAATTTGATACAAATGTAATGTAACGACGATTTAAAACTAAATTTTGAGGATACTAATGTACTAATCATTAATTTAATATATTCTCGCATTTTGGTTTTCTTGTTACATACGAAAAAAAGAACAATGCAGAATAAAGAAAGTTCTGAAAAACCTAATATCAATCAATTGGTAGAATTACCTGAAAATTTTGATAACATAATTCAAATCACTAATAACATTGATCGTTTGTTTTCATTTTCATTCAATGATAATTTAGTAAATGATTCTCAAAATAAAGTTGTCGAAAAATTGTGTAATATATATAATGAAGAAAGGGCAAACAGTGAAAATATAGAATCAATTCTTAATGTTATTAAAAATTTTATAATTAAAAATATTCAAAACCCAAATAATTTAATTCATTGTTGCTTGGATGAATCAACAAATCCTATAATTCAATTTATACTTTCTGGCTGTTATTATTTTGGTAAATTGGTTGAAAAAGATGAATACAAAGCATTTATTCATTGTCAAAAATCTGCTAAGATGGAATTTATTGACGGAATATATTATCTTGGTATCTATTATAATAACGGAATTGGTGTAGAAAAAGATAAACATAAAGCATTCATTTATTTTAAAAAATCTGCTGACATGGGTCATGTTGACGGAACATATAATGTTGGTTATTGTTATCAAAATGGAATCGGAATTGAAAAGTGTGAAAATAAAGCATTCATTTATTACAAAAAATCTGCCAAAATGGGTAATATTAATGGAATGATTAATCTTGGTCATTGCTATCAATACGGAATTGGAGATGAAAAGAATGAATATAATGCATTCATTTACTACAAAAAATCTGCTGAAATGGGAGATTTAGACGGAATGGTCCAAGTTGGTAATTGTTATCAAACTGGGATTGGTATTGAAAAAGATGAACATAAAGCATTCAGTTACTTTCAAAAATCTGCAGAATTAGAACATGCTAATGGGTTATTTAATGTTGGTGTTTGTTATAATAATGGAATTGGTGTTGAAAAGGATGAATATAGAGCATTCATTTACTTTCAAAAATCTGCTGATTTAGGACATGCTGATGGAATATTTAATGTTGGTATTTGTTACAGTGATGGAATTGGTGTTGAAAAGGATAAATATAAAGCATTCATTTACTTTCAAAAATCTGCAGGTTTAGGACATGTTGATGGAACATATAATATTGGTTGTTGTTACCATAATGGTACCGGAGTTGAAAAGGATGAACATAAAGCATTCATTTATTATCAAAAATCTGCTGAAATGGGTTATTCTACTGGAATGATTAATGTTGGTCATTGCTATAAAAATGGAATTGGTGTTGAAAAGAATGAATATAAAGCATTTACTTATTATAACAAATCTGCTGAGTTAGGAAATTCAAATGGAGCTATTCAGGTTGGTCTTAGTTACGAAGAAGGAATTGGAGTTGAAAAGAATGATTATAAAGCATTTAATTATTTCCTTAAATCCGCTAATATGGGACATGCTATTGGAATGTATAAAGTTGGTTATTGTTACGAAAATGGAATTGGAGTTAAAGAAGATAAAAACATGGCATTTAAGTATTACCAAAAATCTGCTGATATGAAAGTTACTTTCGCAATAAATCAGGTTGGCCTTTGTTACCAAAAAGGTATTGGTGTTGAAATAGATGACCACATAGCATTTATTTATTATCAAAAATCTGCTGATATGGGAGATATCAATGGGATATTTAATGTTGGAAATAGTTATCTTTATGGAACTGGAATAGAAAAGGATGAACGTAAAGCATTTATTTATTACCAGAAATCCGCTGATATGGGACATGCTGGTGGAATGAAACAACTAGCCTATTGTTATCGAAATGGGATTGGAATAATAAGAGATACTCAAAAGGTTGATTATTGGAGTAAAATGTAAGTAAATTGTTAAATTGTTCTTTTTTACTATAATACGCTCACGGTTGATTGAGATAATGTTTAAACCATTAAATCAGGGGAGAAAATCCAACATCAGGTAAATTTATTACTATTAATCTTATTTAAATAGTTTATATTAAATTTTTGTTTATTTGATAGCTCCAGACGAATGGGTGAATAAAGGTTCTGATATTGATGATAATTTAAAAAGCATGTTGATTGAAAATAAATATAAATTGTCATGGATCCCTTACGAAGAATTTAAAGATTTTGAAGAGATAGGTAAAGGTGGATTTGCGACTGTATTTTGTGCACAGTGGAATGATCCAATTCGAAATGCTACATCAACAGTTGCGCTTAAACTACTTCATGGATCAAATGGCTGCAACGAAGAATTTGTTAACGAGGTGATTTTTCATTCACATTCTTGTTAATACGTAAATGAATATCCTAATAATTTGATTATTTTCTTTGGTGAGGATCACTTCATCGAAAATAACTTTGCAGACATATTTATTTAATGATTGTTTATCGATAATTACTCATCTGTAAATGGAATTTACTTAATGCAAGATAATTTCTATAATTTAATATCTTTATGTGAGTTATAGTTTGTCTTTCAGAATGGAAACCGAATGAATGCAAGTATAATTGC